CTGTCACGCCGCTGTCAGGTCGCCCTGTGCCCACGGTCACAGTTGTTCACGTGTGATGCTGAGATGATTGTGGGTTCCAGATGTTCCCAATAAGTCCGTTGGCAAACCCACCCCTTCGTTCGCTTTCCATCTGCACAGTGGGGGGTTGAAAAAAAGAAAAGGGGTGGAGACTTGGAGTACGTGTGTTGAAGGAGCAGAGAACAGTATATATACATATAGGGATATATTGGGTGGAGGAAAGTCATGGCATGGGGTTATGGTATGTATGTGGAGTGGAAGAAAGGGGTATGCCTTCTCAGACATTAACCATTGCGGGTGCCCCAGAGCTCCCAGTGGTAGATGGGTAAGCCATCTCCATGCCTGTCGTTTCTGTCTCCCTGAAGAGAGGGAACGTATGGATTACATGCCATGCTTTGGGGAGTCTGGTTGCTCCCTCTGGGAGAAACTGTTGCTCTAGGAGGCTCTGCTTAGTGTCTCATGTTCCAGAGAGAATGGGAGAAGTGATCATCTTCTGGAAAGACCCAGTTGTTGCACAAGTAGTTGTTCACAGCTGCTTTGCAGAGCACAGTCCCAAACTGAAGAATGCGCCTTTGTAGACGCTGCAGGCTGTCGTGTCATGGTCTGACAAGGAGACCCAGTTTTGCTAAGGGATCACTGGGAATGGCAGGTGAAGTGCAATTAGGAAGAAATTCAAGTGAAACTGCGGTAGGTGGCTTCAGAAGCTGTCCCGCTGAAAGTAAGTTTTCCAACAGTGCTCTCTGAGATATGCTGTAAAATGGCAAAGATGTTCCCACCTCCCCTGTGTGAGTCTTTTCAAGCAAATCTAAACCACAGGGTGGTTGTTATTTCTGCGACTTAAGGTTTTCCCATGGTAGAAAGATGAACAATTACAGGCATGGGTGGTGAAACTGGTGGGGAAAGGAGATAAGTGTTAGCTACTTTTGTACTGCACCACTGAAGCGCACTGTGCAATTTTTGGGGGGGTTAAGCTCTGAAAACTTGATTTTTTTACAAATTAAATTATAAATCTTAATGAACTGTCCTCAACAGTGGTGGGGGAGGAGTTTTTTAAAAGAAGGGGGCCTGAGCTTATATGGAGGTATGCAGAGTTACTGAGTTTTTCTAATACCTTATTTTTTTCATGTAGTTGCTAAGGAGGCAAGTAAAATGGGGACATAAATAGATGCTGTCTTCTCTAGAGCATGGAGAAGGACATGAACTCATCTTTACATGGAGTGTGGTCTCAAATTGCTTTTATTTTCTGGCCTGTCTTCTTCAGTGTGTTTCAAATATTACTCAATACCCTGTGCACTTACCTGTTTCTCCCAGGCCCTTGGCAAAACCCCAGTTGCAATGATGCAGTTTAATGTTCTCAGGGGGTTATGTATTCCCGTCAGAGGCAGAGGTAGCTAAGCATAGATAAGTTTTTTCCTTGCCTTTTGTCCATCCGTGTTCCCTGGCCATGCCTACTTTCAGAACATGAAAGATTTCCTAATTTATTTCTGAATTACCAAGTGAGAATTTATCTTTTCTTGTGATCAAACTAATTCTAAACCTCCAAGTGGTTGGTAAGTAAAAAAGGACAAAACAATGCCCTCACAGGTGTTGGGAGCTCTGCTAAAGCTGGAGAAAGAGGCACTTCTGTTCAAAACCAGTTATTGTAACTGCAGTCAGGTACTTAAACTGTGCTTATCTCAGAACGTAGCATTGAGGAGGTTCAGTTGTCCTTTATTGCTGCAGAAGACTGATGCTGGAAAGTTTTCCCTGAAGAGCAGTTCAGAATCAGTTAGCTCTTGCTAAAAATTGAGCAGGAGGATACAAATATTTTTGTCTTCTTCAGTTTTACCTTCTGAAATATCAAATATGATGAGTAAGAATGCATTTTTATAGGAATGTATTTGCCTTTAACACCTACCCTCAAGTATTTTCTGCCTGACTTTAATAGCATAGTCATAGCAAATATTCTTTACATTATATGAAAGGTTCTGTGAAGGATATCAGTTTCTTTTTGTGCTCCTGAAACAGACAGAAGGTAGTCCAGAAGTGATGATACCAGCAGGGTTTGGGTTCATAACAGTTTAAAAGAAATTATTTTGTGTAAGGAAGACCAAAGAATTCTTCAAAGAACCTTGCTGTCTGTCATGGCATTTTTGGAGGCAAATAGGAAAAAAAAAAATAGGAACAACCTTTGCGCTCTGTTCCCAAAGTTAAAATTTTTACTAGATTTTATCATTGTTATCAACTGATACAATACCTGGACTTATGCTTCATAAGAAAGGGTGCAGCTAAGAATTATTTCAAGAACTAGTTCACGAGCACTGATTTAGCAGTAAGTTATTTAAGTGGGTGTATGCATGAGTTGCTTTCCCACCTTTTACTTCCTGTCCTACTTAGATTTTTCTTTCAACTCAGTGTAGTAACTTATGAACTTAGATGCCTTAGTAATCTCTGGTATGATTCTTTCCTTGAGGAAAGAGGAAGACTTTACATATTAACTTAAGCAATTTTTTGGTGATAGGAGCAAACGTAAAACATTAGGAAGCATTAACAGAATAAGAAAAAGAGGCCTAATATGCTTTAGTGGGATAATTAGCTCTATGTGAGTGGTCTGTTGACTGGGAGAGGTGGAGGGGTGTCGATGAGAGATGCTCAGCAGTGGCAGTTGGGTGTGTGTGTCTAAGATGATCCCGGGGCCGCTTGGAGGGGAAGACCTTCGGGATATGAAAACTAATTTTGGAAGTTTGGGCCCTGTGAACGGAAGTCAGCCTGTTAGAAGCTTACCTGTGGTTGCAAAACACTGTTCTGTGTGTTCTTTCCTCAGTGTTCCGCCACCTGTGGAAGATCCTGATGAGGCTCAAGCAAAAAAGCAAAAATCAGGTATTGCGCATTACAGAAGTATTTAATACGTGTGATTTTTCTTAGGTTTCATGTACTTTAGGAAACTCCGGCTCTTGTATTTCAGCATTATTACTGAAACTGTGGCTTTTCAAGCCATTCTTTCCTTGTGGCCATCTGTGTAGCCAGTGGTCTGAGAGTGTATCATAGGGCCTAGCCTTATATATGATGTTATCTGTGTTGACTGTGGCAGGGCACAACACTTTTACTGCTAGCAGGTGATATCCCAGGTGTCTCTGGTGGTGAGCCCATGCATGTCAGCAGAAAGAGTATTTTAAATCAAAGCTGTGTGCTCCCTCCTCTCTGTATTTGCAATGTACCTCTGTCAGTTCAAAATACCCGTATGTCTTATGAGAAATGACTTAGAATCTGGGATGTGAAGGAAGGTAACTTTAAACTGATGGCAGGCAGAGTAAAATGGTACTTCTGTTTGGGCGGGGTGGAAGCTGAACTGAAAACAGAAGAGTCAGTTTAGTCTGAATCTGAAAATTTTGGCATGTGCATTTTGACAAGATAGAGGAAGAGTGAGTAAAGAAGGCTGGAGATGCTGGAGAGCAAGGCATAGCAGAGAACAGCAGGGTGGAGAAGTGCTCTCTTCAGTGAGGCTTTCTCTGATATCCCCTCCACAAAGTGTTTAAGGGTAAAATTATGCAGCTGCCTGCAGCCGTGTTGGTGCTTCTGGGTGCCAGCAGTGTTGATCATGATTTGAGATGGACATTTCCTCTTTTCCATCTTTACTGATAAAGAGGGCGAAATGATGCTCTTCAGGCTGTACATTTCCTACCACAAGTTCTATAGGGAGCTGTGGAGCTTCCTAGTTACTGCTTGGTGAACGATGCTGCCCCCTATTTAATGGTAGGGGCTGCTGAGCTGTTAGTGTGCTTTTCAGGCTTAAGAGCATAAAATAATTGAAAAATGTCAAATTGATGTCTTGCTCCCCTATCCCTCCTCCTTTTAGCAACATGACCAACTCTTGGTAGGAGCAATTCCCATGTCTCAGTAAGTAGGCCAGATCTGCTCTAAGAATGTGGTACCATCTATGCCCTCGTCTGCTAAAGTGTCATTCTCTTATTTTCAAACAAATGCTGTTGTCTAATATGATTTACTCTCTAACACAGCCCCTTATTAGACAGCCCTGGCTTGTTGATGTTTGGAAGTACTGTCTGAGGGGTTACATGTCTTTGCTTTAATACTGAAAAGAACAGGTTTTGGTAGCTTTGGTTTCTAGACCTCAGCAAACAGCTTCTCTCAATTAGACAAGACTGACGTGTAATAAACTGCAAGAATACATGCATGTGTGGAGGGGATGAGGAGGATTGCACCCCGTGCTGCTTCTCCAGAAACAGGGAATGTTTCCAAAAAGCAGGGTGTTTTTTCAGATCTGGCTGGCGGACTCACAGGTTAGTCTTTGAGCTCCAGCTCTGAAGGACTGTGCAGTGAGCCAACTAATACAAATATCACCACCAACTGCTGTTGGCAGAAGGGTGTGTAACTTGAAATGAGTTACACAGCTTTAGGTGGGATTAAGGAGATGGGCTTTAATGCAAATAGAAATCCTAATCCCCTTTTAAATCATGTTCTTATATGGCCTGTCTTTGTTTTTTAGATTACGCCATCTTTAAGCGTAAAGAGAATGTTGAAGAAGTTTCTGCTTTGGTGAAGTTGCCAGCCAAGGCAACAAGTGAATGCCAGAAGGCTTCGGTCAGCGATGCCGCTCCAGTCGCTCCAATCACAGAGTCTGCAGAAGAGGTTAGCAAGGATTTTGAAAGTAGGTAGAATCTGTGCAGATGAAAGAGGAAGCAGGTCTCCCTAATGGCATCTTGAAGTTGAGCCTGCTCTGAGCCAGTACAGCACTAGGTTCTTCTTTTCCATTTATAGCAGTCAGCTCTTGTGTGCTGGGTTTGCCTTACTCAAGTTTGTGTACTCTGCTCTAGCACTTGCAGCTGAGGAAGGAGCTAAATGTTTGTTTTCTTCCAGATACTTTACAATTGTTCAATTCTATAGTTTTAGTGTGTTTGTAAACTGTTACTCTCTTTCTCAAGCTTGTCTTTAAGGAGTCAAAATACATTGCAGTACAAGAAAAACTGCATGCTTCCTCTGGATAAACCTCTTTCTGCTAGGTTCGTTATCCACCAGCCCAGGAGAGGACTGTAGGACCTTCGCTCTGTAACAAGTACTCATGTAATGAGTCATGAAGTGCTTGAGTCTGTAGTTTGGCTCAAAGGTGTACTGTTATTTTTCTTATTGCACCATAGGATAAAAGCAGTAAGAAACTGTCATGGTCTAACTATTCGTTCCTGAGAGAGTCATTAACTCTTATTTGTACAAAACGTTTTTCAAGGGCTAAACTGTCACACTTTGGAATGTTTAGGAGCCGACTGCGGAGAACGCAGTGATAAGCTTGTATTGTTTTAATCCCTGCACATATGAGAGCTTGTATTAAAAAATTAAAGGGTACTTGTCAGAGATCCTGCAAAGATTTGCATTCTGCTACAGTCTGAACCAGCAAATCATGGTCCCCAAGTCATAATAGAGCTGACTAAATTTCAGGAAGTTTGTTTGCTTGGATTCACATTCAGGTTATACTCACGTTCTTACTTTTTTTGTTTTTATTTAAGACTCAGTCCACTTCTTCTGACCCTTCATCTAAAAGACCAACAGGTTCTGTGGTAGAAAGAGCAATGCTACAAATTGGTAAGGCTGACATCAAGTTATTAACTTGTTTCTTTTTCACCCTCCCTTGTGTACTGTGCAACTCTACCCCTAAGCTTATGTACTGGGCCTATGTACTAGGATTATTGCAGGCACAATATCTAGGTAGCATCTAGAAATACTTGAGTGTGAACTCTTGCTTCTTCCCTGCATCCTTGCATTGCTTCTGGATTGGGGCCAGGCGTTTATCTTGTCATCTCAGTACAAGAGCTGCCTTGGATGTGGTCCTTCAGTTCTGATATGTCCACTGTTAGCTTGCCAGAAGTTGATTGGTTTAAATGCTAATTTTAGGTGGTAGATGCTGATAACCCTTTTTTATTTCAGATTTAGGCTGGCAATACCTTGTGTGCACAACTTTCTGTAGTTGCCAATATGAAAATCTGAAAATATCCTGAAGTAATGTAACAGAAATAATATTATGATGTGAGAGAGAAAATGAAAGTAATTTATCTTTGGTGAAGCTCTTTACTGTAAACTCATAAAACTCTTCAGTTTCCTTTTATAGTTACTGATGGCTTATGCTCTTTTCTTGTAGATAAAATGCCTTGTGGAACCAATACTTGCTTGAATAAGGAAACACTATCCCTTTCTCACAAGGCAGTTCCATGTCTGAGGTAAAAATCCTTCTGTTTTCTTTGACTTCTTCTCTGAAAGGTTTGTTGTCTTTCACTTTCATTCTTGAACTTCCTCTGTGTTGCCTAATGTTTGTATTTATGTCCACATAGCAATATTTTTCCAAGGTATTCTGGAACTCCTCCAGGCTGCTATACTAAGGGAGGTCTCCAGATGCTTTCTACCCCCCCAATCAATTTTAAACTTCTTCTTTAAATCCAGATACTTCATAGACACAGGAGAGTAGATAAAGATTAAAGATCTGTGGTAGGAGGAAGTGTTGAACTTGAGAAGAGACCAGGAATGTTTGTGAAAAGGTCCTAAATAGTTAATTTGACAAGAAAAAATAAGTTGTTGTTTAAAAAAAAAAAAAACAAAAAACAAAACCAAACCCCTCAACAACCTTCTCTCAAAAAAACCTCCATGATGTTTGGCATAAAGTAGTTCCCAATTTGATAAAAGGACTAGCCTTTACATTGCATTTGTTTTGAATTATTGTTTGGGGGATGGCTGAGGCACTGTTTGTACACTTACCTCAGAGTCAGAAATAGCTGGAAGAAGGATGGAATGGGTCATGATTTGATGCTACTGTTTACCTTCCAGTCTCAAAATTGGATTGATAGTCTTGTGTGTACCACAGCTTGGAGGTGCTATGGTGACAAAGTCCAGTTGGAGGCATCAGTGGTGGTGTACCCCAGGGATCAGTACTGGGGCCAGTACTGTTTAATGTCTTCATTAATGACCTGAACGATGGGACAGAGTGCACCCTCAGCAAGTTCACAGGTGATACAAAACTGGAAGGAGTGGCTGATGCACCTGATGGGTGTGCTGCCATCCAGAGGAACCTGCACAGGCTGGAGAACTGGGCAGAGAGTTCATGAAGTTCAACAAGCAGAAATGCAAAGCCCTGCATGTGGGGAGGAACAACTCCATGCAGCAGTACATGCTGGGGGCTGACCAGCTGGAAAGCAGTTCTGCAGAGAAGGAGGTCCTGATGGACAACAAGCTGACCATGAACCAGTGATACATCCTCATGGCAAAGGCCAACAGCATCCTGGGCTGTGTTAGGAATAGTGTTGCCAGCTGGCTGAGGGAGGTCATCCTTCCACTCTGCTTAGGCCACCTCTGGAGTGCTGTGTCCAGTGCTGGGCTCCCCTGCACAAGGAAGATGTGGACTTACTGGAGCAAGTCTGGCAAAGAGCCACAAAGATGATTAAGGGAGCAAAGCATCTTTCATACGAGGAGAAGCTAAGAGAGCTGGGACTGTTCAGCCTGGAGAAGAGAAGGCTCAGAGGGATCTCATCAATGTGTATAAACATCTGAAGGGAGGGAATCAAGAGAAGGGAGGCACACTCTTCTCAGTGGTGCCCACTGACAGAACAAGAGGCAATGGGTGCAAACTGAAAACCAGAAAATTCCATCTGAACATCAGGAAACACTTTTTTACTCTGAGGGTGGTCAGATACTGGCACAGGTTGCCTAGAGAGCTTGTGGCATCTCTATTCTTGGAGATGTTTGAAAATCTGACTGGACATGATCCTGGGTAACCTGCTGTAGGTGACCCTGCTTGAGCAGGGGGTTGGACCAGGTGATCTCCAGAGATGTCTGCTAGAATGATTCTGTGAGGAAAGCAGCAGCTACATTTTTGGTGCCAGAGTGCTAGCTTTTAGAAGAGCTGAGGGTTGGGTGGTATGAATAACACACCTGGATCACAGAATCATAGAATGCTTTGTGTTGGAAGGGACCTGTAGAGGTCATCTACCCCAACCCTCCTGCAGTGAGCAGGGACAGCTTTAACTATATCAGGTTGCTCAGAGCCCTGTCCAACCTGACCTTGAATGTTTCTAGGGATGGGGCCTCCACTACCTGTCTGGATGGTTGGTTCTTTAGTCTTCTGTATTGACTCAGGGCTTGGACTGCCATGGACATAACATGTGCCTCTGAGTGCAGTTGTGACGTGCACAGCAGACAACAGCGTATATTCAAGGCAGTTCTGATTTTCACTTTTACTTCTCTCTGCTTTCCCATTAGATAGTTGAAGACAGCAGGTCTTCACCTGAAAGTCTTAAACATCTCGTGTCTGTCTCCATCATCATCAGTGTACATGCTTTATAAAATAGTTGTTGGTGGAGCTTGAATCAGGAGGTGCATATTTGAATGTTCTCTTGATACTATTTCTTTTGCTGTTGATGTTTTTAGCACAAGCAGGCATGGCAAACACCACATCAAACCTGCTTCAGACAGCATCTTAACACTGAGGCCACCCATTAAGGAGCACACTGTGCCAGAATCCACGACTTCAGAAGTCAACAAAACGGGGAGGCTTTTCTGTACTGCTGAAGAGGTATGCTGGGTGAGAAATGTGTCTTTTGAAATGAAAGAACTTAGCAGTTATAACAAAGCTCTATGTAAACGCTGAAGTCGCAGTTTGTAACAGCACAGTGGGTGTAGTTAATGAAGTTGAATGCTTCTGGAAAATCAGCATATAGCATTTTATTTGCCTTTACATGCATCAAGTCTTGGAACAGAGCAGTGCTTTGTTACCAAAAGATTGAGTTTGAAACCATTTTCATGGAAATAGTGTACTGGGGGAGGACTCTCCAGCCAGTTTCAATTGTAAGTGGAGCTGTACCACCTTGTCACTAAGTGTATATTTGTTGCAGTTGTTTCACTATTTTGTCCTTAACCTAGCTCAATTGTGATCTTTACGTAGCAACTTTAAAAGGATACTGTAGGAAAAAAAAAAAAAATCACTCAGTTGCTGATAATCCTTCCTTACAGGACTATCTGAGAGGTCTTTCCCTGTTCTTTCCTTCTGATATCTCAAGCAACTATTGGAAAATTCTTGATAAACCTAGCTTACATGGGAGAAGAACTTACACCGAAATACTGGAGAAGCAGGGCATGGCAAGCTGGGGAGTATGATTAAGATACATTGGGGACTTGTAGCACCCAATCATTATGTGTATGGACAGGAGTGCATGTTAGCCTGAATTATTATGCAAGAGGAGCAGACCACAGCTGAAAAGGCCCCTATTTGAGGAAACAGTTGCAGAAGGAATGTTGAGGTTTTTAGGGGGACACAAGTTCTTAGGGCAGGGCTAAGCACAAAATGAATGTGTGGGAATTCCTGCTAAAGTAAACTTGAATAATGTGCCAGTATTTTGGCAACAGCCTATGCAGTCCGCACTATATCCAGACTACAAACATTTGCTTCATATGCAGTGGTTCTAATCTGTTTGGTTTTTCCCTCCATTCTACTAGGATGTTCAGCGAGGAGAAAAGGAGAAATACAAACAGCTCTTGGAACTGGTAAAGGAAAAATATCCTAGAAGCCGCCCTAATCCACAGCCGACAAGCTTCCGCAAGTAATTATAGGAAAAATAACCATTAACTTTTTGGTGGTAGCTTTGTAGCTGTTGTACATGGAAGTGGAGGGGAACTAGTCTTTCCTACTCTCAGGGTTCTGAACAGTGTCCCAGTGCAGGTGGTGGGGCAAACTAATTTTTAAAAGACCGGCACCTGCCTTCAGCTCTCTGCAATGAAGTATGAATATTCTCTGAATGTATATTCTAAAGGTGAAGATTCCTTTGTTGATATGGATGTGTTTCTCCTTCTGATTCTCCTTTCTTGTCTCTGTGTTAAGAAAGGTAGTATCTAGTTCTAGTGCTGGCAGTGTAACTTCTAGTATAAAAATCCACAGCAGTGGTTATTCTGTAGCACCATTAAAAAGAATTTATCTTCCTTTTGCTTGCAATTGATGAGTTTTCCCTTGGTCAGGAATCCTGTTTTATCTGAGAATGTGAAACTTAAGGTAAACACAGGGAATGCCAGAATTTTCTCTGTTCCTTTCCACCTCCCGCTGTCCTTCTTGCACAAATTATAGGAAGTTTTCTCTTTGCAGTACGCTAAGTTGACAAAACCCACCCGTGTAGAATTCCAGTTCCTAAAGCACCTTGCAAAGGGGAACTTGTGTGTAATTCTGATTCATGTATTACCAGTGATGAGTATATTTGTTATGTTATAACTGTGTCAAGAGATTGCATGAAGTTAACTACACAAGTAAAAAACACAAAAATAATAGAAGCCATTATCTTAGTGGAATAATTACCCTTCAAAGCTGTGCAGAAGGGGCCTAATTCTTGTAAAATACTGATGCCAAGATGGTGCTAAGGTTCCAGCATGCCTTTCTACACAGTAAGATGGTAGAAAATGCCATGCTTTCTTGCAGTTTCTTTAAATTGCTGTGAAACATGAGTTGTTACTAGGCTTAGAAAAATCCCAATCTCCGCTCAGTGGTTCACAGCTAGAAAACATGTAAACACATGACTTCAGAACAGTGTATCATGTTTAAATGTGCTGGTGTGTGAAAATGATATGGAAAACAGTATCTCATGTAATTTTAGGTGCACTGACAATAGCATTTTAGGGTGGTTCGAGACTCTGCTTTCGGCATCTAATCTCCCAGTCATTGAGTATTGTGGTTTGGCTCATCTCAGAGCAGACCTGGAGCATGTGAAACCAATTCCTTTCAGATGAAGCTAAACCAGAGAGTGTTCCTGTGGAATGTGTCTAAGGCACTCCAACTGCTAATGAGCGTGTGGTCCCTGAGGTCAGATTAGAGCAGGTCTGAAGTAAAATGTCCCAGAAGTATGTATGTTGTGGATATTGCATTCTCAGTGTCAGCATAATCTTTAATAAATAGCTTGAAAAGAATTGGTCAAGGATGGTTGTAATGAATGCTGTCTAGTCCCATAAAATAAAGTGGACTCCTCAGATTAATCCAGATATTTGTAGGATGTGCAAAGAATACTTTTTGTTTTTAAAGAAAAAACAAAAAAGCCACTGATTTGCTGGTGAAGGGGTAGAGGAGTCAAATTTCATGATTGATTATTCTCTTTTGAAATTCTGGAGACAGAAGACTCGACTGCTGTATCTTCAGTATGCCAGAGTTGAAAGTAGCCAAGCTTCTGAATGTGAACTTCCTCCTCATGGAAATGCCCTTTGCATTTTGTCATGAAACCAGTGCAGGAGACGGGATGTTTCTGTCAAGGGTTTAAACAGCCTAATTTTACTTTACATATTTCTATTGCTTTAACTATGGCTTCCAACTCTAATGTAGACAGTTGTGTATGAATAAACTGTGTCCTTTCTAGTGAATTGGTATGCACTGATAACAAATGCCATATGTATAAAAATTGTGATTCTTCTCTGTTATTTTTTGCGGCACCAAAGTGTTCAAGCCTACTCCAAGGAACCAGTGATGACTGTGAGTCACCTGGAAGAACAAAAATATGGAGGAGATGTCTATCCACATATGACACTAAGAACCAGTGAGTATCCCCACAATTCATATCTGTTCCACTTTGTAGGTAGATTCCAAATCAAAATAGGGCATTTCCTTAAGTCTTGAAGGTATAGATTATGCTAAAAAGATTTGTCAGTGCTAGTGTATCATTAATCTGTGTCTATTTATAAGGAAATCTAAATCAGCCATTTATGATTGTTTATCATAACATTTATCATTTATCATAACTGTTTATCATCAGTGTTTATGCTAGTATAGCTTATATCAGCTCTTAGAATCTAATGAGTTGTCTCTTGAAAGAAAGGGAAAATAAAGAGGGGGGAACACCTCACACACACACCCCTCCTAAACCATAGCTAGTTATTGGCTAAAATGGCTTTGTAAGGTTTTTGTTGAAGTGAAAAAGTTTTTTTAAAATTGTACTTGAGAGACATTACTGTACCAGTGACGTTTGTAGCTGCAGACGTAACTGCATTGTACAGAACTTCATAATATCTGGTTGTTTGTACTAGTGGAGGGTGATACATTACTCTGTACTCTTAGATGCCTGTTACTTAACTCAGAGTTGCGGTTATGTGTTACTCTCTAATCCCTTTTTAATACTATATATGATTGTTTCTATGATAGCAGAGCATTGACCCAAGTAAGCTAACTGCACAGTACAACTGTTGATATCAAGTTAGCTTCTTTTGTAGATCATCTTTAACTAGTTGAAGGTACATAACTACTGAAGGTGACCTTAGTTGTCTTCTGCAGAATGGGCTAGTTAAACTGGTTTGCTGACAAGCTATTTTCTTTTGTACCAGCAGTGTGTTATAATACCGTGTGTTCATGTGTATACATTTAATATTGTCCCAGTCTTTTTTTTCCCTGTTCATTACTTAAATAATTTTTCATCAATACTTCTTTATACATATCTGTGACTTTTTTATGCAGTCATATGGGTTTTGAAATTATTTCTGAGCAGGTGCTAGAATTTGGGGAAAGCTTGTTTTGTTGTGGAAAATGGCAAGCTATTCATCTGACCCTGGGGGACCATCTGGTTTTGCAAAAATCACTCGTTTAGTGAAGTGTGCAATCTAGGATTTAAAACTTAATAAATGCCCTGCTTCAGCTCTCATACACTCGCACATGATATTCAGAGTTCAAACTGTTTGCCAGAGTTCGAACTTCCTAACCATACAGGTTATCGTCTTTAAAAGTTTGGGGTTTGTTTTTTTTTTTTTATTTATCACCCAGAAACCGAGAGCTATGTACATCTGATGTTAATTGAAAGTTGACTTCTTGTTTTCATATTACTGCTTTTCTGTGCAGGTATCAAATGTGCAGATGTTTGCAGCCCGCAGTGGTCTCAGAGAAGTGATATGATCAGGTAGAGTCTGTTGATCATGGTTCTTGTTTCTTTTGGCTCTGTGTGCATGTCTCTTGCAGCTTCCAGTACTGTCCAGAAGAAGACAAATCCATACTTATCGTCTCAGTGGTGTGGAAGAGGAGTAGCCAGCTTGTGGCTCTGGAATTGCTCTCAAGCCAGTTGCATCTCAAACACAGCTCCCATGCTAGAGCCGTGCTGTGTGACAAACAGGGTTGTGCTGGTGTGGTGTTTGCTGGGTCCTTTGCTAGAAAGCTAGTGGGGGTGAGAGTGGTGGCGTACCAAGTTGTCCTTGGATTTGCAGAATCCATTTTTGCTTGTGTCTTTCTGATAAACCATTAATGAGCTGACATTTAATTTCTTTCACTTTGAAACTAGGATCCTAAGCGTAAGGATTAGAGAGCTTTTAAAGCCTGGTGGGACTGAGGCATTTTTTGTGACTGGGTTTTAAATATGAGACCAAAAAGGAAGCATGCAGTTGGGTTGTCTGCCTGTTTTGGAGGCCAGTGGACTCATTTGTATTGGTTGTCTGACCTGGCAGGACTATGAGTTTAGATGGCTTTTTGTTGTTGAGGGAAATGGGGTTTTGGTTGCAGTAAGCACAGCTACAGGGAGAGATTTTGTATGGCAGTCTGATGCATGCATCTTTCTGCAGTTACCTGCCCTTAAATGAGAGGAGAAAGTGTAGTTGGGAGCAGAGAGAGATTCAGTTGTGGCAGTCCTGTGTTTTAGCTAATTCTGTCCCTATTCTTCTCCCCGCTTTAAACACTAGTGCTATATTTAACTGTGCAGCACTGTACCTGTGCTTAATTGTCACTGGTTCCCCTAAGCTCGAGGGGAGAGGAGGAAATAAAATAACTGATAGAGAATGATGGGTTCAAGTAAAAGGAACATTTTCTTGCCTTTTTTTGCAGATTTAGCTACTAACTGAAGTCATTTGACCAGGCTTGTGATATCTACTCTTGCCATTGTGCCTTCAAAGCACAATGAGTGTAGGATACCACGAGAGTCTGTTGTAGGTCTCCCTCCTGAAAAAGGGGATCTTTGGTGACAATGCAAATTCTTGGTTTTGAAGAAGGGACACATATATGGACAACTTTAATGTCTGTGTATTTGTTTGCTCTTCAGAGTCTGCGTGGTTTTAATGATAATCCTCTCCAAATGGGGATAGTCACTCTCTTGACTAGCCTATAGAAGGCAAGTAAGCATCCTGTAGCTGTCCCATTTTCAATTGTGTGCTGGTCTTAGTTTCCGTAAGCTAACTATATTTGGATGCAAGTATAGTGGCAGATGTTCATGTTATACCTTGCAGTATAACACCTAGCATGCAGTGTTTATCACCAGTAGATCACAATGCACTTGATGGAGGAAGTGCTGGTTGCTTCCCTGTTTTCCAAATAATGAAACTGATGAAGAGAAACAAAACGAGTCTTGTACATGTAGATGGAAGAAAGTTTGCAAAGCTCCCAGATCTTCATTCTGTGCCAGTCTTGCTGCTACAAAAGAATGGTGCTGGAAGCTGAGACAATGTTGTCACATGTTCATGTGTGCAACTGAGGCTCTAGTCAGAATCAGCCTTGAAAAAGCATTTCTTATCTAGAAGGTGAATTCTTGAGAATTACAGGGGATGGTATGGATGTACAGCTCACTTCTCTCTCTCTTTCTCTCTCCCTCTCCTCACAGGTACTACACACCAGCAGAAAACTCCCATGAACAGGGAAGACCAGTGAAACAAGCCACTGCAGGGGTAAGCTCTTGTTACTCATTATTTCACTTTTTAGGAAAATACAGCTATTTGTGATCAGAAAGTTTTGCACTCTTCACTTAAATACATTACTTACTCAGCAATATATGTGTCCCAGTTGTTTTTTCCAGGGAAAATGAGAGCATTATTTGATGAGTAGAGCTATCACAAAGGGTTTCCCGCTGCCATTAATTTTTTTTTTCTGCACTATTATGAGCACAGTACACTATACTATTTTTATTCTTCCCCTTTAATGAGTTGGGTATAGCTTCAAAATCTTTAGTGCACAACTTAATTGACCTGCAAAGCTGGACTGCGGTATCTTTAGTCTTCTCCTGTTTTGTGAGATAGGAAGTACATCTCTGACTTCGATCTCCAGTCGGGATTGAGATCAAAAATAAAATTTTAATCATGGAAATCAGAAATATTAATCTCAATCTCAACTTGATACCTACATGTGGAGGCTTTGCTGGGGTTCTTAATGCTAGTCCAAGCCAAACTAACTTTCTGCCTCTCTTGCCTCCATTTAGTTTTAAGTGCAGCACTACATGGGTGCATAGTTGGAATGCAGTCATCAATAAAAAGTAAATTTGGAGTTTGCTGGTTGGATGTGTGCACAAAAACCCTTCCAATTTTATACATGAGCAACATTTTCTGCACTGTCTCCTAGCAAACAAATCTGTGCTTGCTTGCTAGCTTAATGTCCTTTTGTCTAACAGGGGCAGTATGGAGGTGAAATATCTGAAGAGGTGTTATTACATCTGGCACCTGTTCTGTCCAGAAAGTCATCTGCCCTTGATGTGGAAGAAAAGAAATTTCCAGGCTCAGAAAAAACAGTAGAACACTTTTCTCCACTCACAGAGGTACCATAGCTGACAGTCTGTTAGACGAAACAGAAGGCTGTGAAACAGCTGCAAGAAACTCCATTTATTATAGGTGGTTCTTAAGGCTTTTTGAAATCTTAAGAACTTGCATTTAACCTGTTACCAAGTGTCTGCAGCTGTGACTTCACAGTGCAAGGGTCAGCAATAAAGCTGGTTTTAAGGATTTAATATGCTCCACACACTCCTTCAGTTTTGCTAACCTAGGGATTTGCGGGGTTTCTGCTACCAGGACAAAAATTAGCTCAGGTTTAAGAACAGTCTCCCAGGGCAGTGCTAACCTGATTCATACAGTTATACTGGCTCTGCCTCTTAACCTGTCCTACCATGGTGATAGAACCTGAAAAATAAGCTCTTGCTGATCTATGGTGTTGCATTGCTTATGGAGGACCTGAGCATCTTGTGTACGTCCTCAGGATCTCTCAGTCTCATGTATGTGTACTGGGCATGGTTGCACTGCATGTAACAGTGGTCACAAGAGTTAACTTAGTTACACTATTCAACAGGGAGTGGGAGTTCAGGTTCCTCTACTTATATGAATTTTGTCTGCTTTTATTCTTCAGAGTTGCAGTTGTACTGATCTAATTGAGCACCTCCTTTTTTGCCCATTGAGGATTGACTTGGAAAGGGCTAGCAAATCCAGAGTTTACAGTCTGCAGAGTGGTGCTCAGTACAAGGAAAACCAGCTGTTTTTCTTATTTTGCTAGCCCAGATTCAACCAAGAAGGGGATGCTGTTGCAGATCAGAGTATTTTATACTAACAGACCTAGTGGTTTATTTGCATTCCTTAAGCAGACTTAGATGGAAACATCCATATTACAACCAGTTGCATGCACAACCTGGACTCCTGATTGCCTGACTCCAGTGTAGCTGCCTCAGTTTCCCCCTTTGCTGTTACTTCAGTTCCCTTTGAGGTCCCCCGCCTTCAAATTCTTTCAGGCTCCTGACTTGGTATGGAGAATGCCTACTGTGGTTGGCCTAAACCTCAGTATTGCGAGGGCTGCAGCATCACATGGGAAGGGTGTTTGCTGTACTTCTGTTCATTCTTCAGCTGCTTTAGTATGTTTGCTAGTCCACATGTTTTATATATCAGCTTCCTTTGTGAAAACAAATTGAAGCAAACCTGGACTCTAAAGTTCAAAGCTAGGATGCTGAAACAAACAAAAAAGTGCTGTTGCTAACTTAGCAAAAAACTGGCAAAGCTAGTTGCTCTGTCACTTGAGCTTAATTTACAGGCCTTGTTTCAGTTGAAAGCTGCCCACAGGTTAGCATGCTCAATACTCTGTTTCACAAGTCCTTCCCCATTTAACTGTTCATTTCAGGCAATGGAGAGGGAAGTGATTGCTGCATTTGGCAAAGGTGAGCCAGATGAGATCATGAGCAGTGCCTTCAAACTAAAGGTCACTCGTGAGGACATCCACACGCTAAGGAACCTTCGCTGGCTAAATGATGAGGTAAAACTAGCTGCAGCACAGTGATATTGTAGTTCAGCATTTATTTAAAAATACCCCTTCACTGTGTACAGAAGTCTTTTCAAAGTTATTTGATGACCTCCACTGCAGAGCCTAGAAATATCTGTACAGTTCTTATTTTAAGTACTTAAGGGTCTAGTGTTTCTGGAAATTCCTTTACTTGTTGTACTATGTGGCTTCCAGGAGTTAGTCGAAGTTACTGGAGTGGGTGGCAGGTGTTTTTATCAAACTGCAGAAGTAACCAAGTGCAAAATTCTCAGAACAAAAATTGACAGCTGAGGCTGGAGTTCTCTCAGCTGCGTACTTAAGGGGGGCCAACAAAGATGTGTTGCTGGTTTTTTTTCTTTTGGTAAGCTAGTGTCTTATTTTACATCACAAGTTTGCTCTTTACGGTACAGGTCATTAATTTCTACATGAGTCTTCTGGTGGAAAGAAACAAGAAGGAAGGATATCCAGCAGTCCATGCTTTTAGTACTTTCTTTTACCCCAAACTAATTTCTGGGGGCTACAAAGCAGTAAGAAGATGGACCAGAGGTGTGGATCTCTTCAAGCAGGACCTCATCTTAGTGCCCATTCACTTGAGAGTGCACTGGGCACTAGTGGTGAGTCAAACTGGCTTTTTATTTAGAATTGGATGGGGAGAAAAAACTAGCAGGAAAAGTCATTTAGGTTTTGTTGTGTGTGCAGCACAAGGTTGTGCTTTGTCTAACAGTCACCTTTTAATAACAGGTCATAGATGTCAGAAAGAAGACCGTCAAATACTTTGACTCAATGGGACAGAAAGGGGACAAGATTTGTGAAACTTTGTTGTAAGTAACTGCTCAGTCACTGCTTTTATGTTGTGAATTATGAGAAGGTTTTTGGATTTTGTCCCTGTAACATGACAGCAAGTTTTCGCATTTCTTGTAGATAATGAAACAGAAATCTTTGATTTGCTTGGTGTGAGTTGTATGACATTGGCTACTTATCTAGCCACACATCGTCCCATCCACCGAGGGCCCTGGATGCCTGCATTCTGTCACCTTCCCACTATATGCACAGACAAAATGTCACTGTCTAATACATGATAGCCCTGTGGCACACATGTACTGACTTTGTTAGTAATCAATAAAACTGGGCTATTGATGAGAGGAAAGAATTTCAGGGAAGTGTTTCAACGTAACAACCTGACTGTAGAAGGATTACAGTCTTCCAAGAGCTTTTTAACTCCCCCTTATTTAAGAACTTTCAGATTGCAACTCAGTAATGTTGGTGTTCTACGGTATATACACTCCTGTTTGTGGTCAGCTACACATATACTTGTACTCTTTATTGCTTAGCTCTTTTATCCTTTTATTGTATTGAGACCTTTTTCTCCCCACTTGTAATGTTCATCCTTTCTACTGTAGTGAGCTATGTAACATGCTCCTTCTCAGTTTGTCTATACCTCTTCTATTCTGTTCAGTGTTTTAAACAAAGCCACCGCATTTCCCTCCAGCTTACCCTAGCAGGCTACCCTTGTGTCCTTGTGTTACTTGTATTCCTGACATTCTCATTGAAGACAGATGCCTTGTAGCAAGCTTTTCCAGATATATCAGCTAGCACGGCATACATCTCAAATGTAACGGGTACCGTTTTTCATGTTGTGCAAGCCAGCATCCTTAGATGTCTTTGCCACTGATGCAGAAGTAGTAAAAACCCTTAATCCAGCTTTGTAGACCAAGAACAGGAGAGCAGGCCCACAGAGACAAACCAAGTGTTATTTTAGTCTAGTGCTCTCCTGAACAGTGAACAGCAGATGCCTGGGAAAGGGTATAAGAACAGGTCTGCATCAAATAATTTTTTTCTTCAAGAGTTTTATTCCAGCAACTGGTGGCCTGGGAACTTCCTCAGCCAGAGGTATTAGCCCAAAAGCTTTTGTATTTGTTCTTCCAGAGTTGCACCCAGTATGTGGGATTAAGGCAGATGGTGGAATTATGGCATTATGGTTCCTTGCTTGGTTTTTCTGTTCCTCCTCTGATAACATGTGATTTGGGGTTTTTTGACCTCTGCTAAGCAATGAGCTTACCCTTTTGTGGAATTCTCTGTTGGAATTGTTGGTCTCATTCCTGACCCGTTGGTCTCATTCCTGACCATTAGCTCTCAACCTCTCACTGTGTTTGTAAATTTTAAAATTTGAATTTCTCTTTCAAATGCCTTAAATCAGCTGCTGTGAGGATCCTCTGACATTTTACTGTCCTGCCATTCATCTTCCTGTGATCCTTCAGCGGCTCTTTTTTTGTTGGCTTAAATTACGGAGATGAAGAGTGATTTGGTTTTGTTTTAAACAGCCAATACCTGCAAGAAGAAAGCCGGGACAAAAGAAATGTGGAGCTGACTTTTTCAGAGTGGACTCTTCACAGCATGGAGTCACATGTATGTGAGCAGTACTTGGATTTGAAATGTGAACTAGTAACTCCTTGTCACAAAGGTCTTAACACTTTCAGTAAGTCCAAGCCTTTAGAGAATGGGCATAAGCATCTCGTGTAATTATGGTATCACATTAGGCTGCAAGTGGACCAGGAAACAATGCTGGGATGAAATCTTTAAGCAGTGCCTCTCCTTGCTGGCTGAATACTTTCTTTTTTCAATTAGTCTGCCACATTAACGTGAATCTGGCTTTGCCCCCATTTTGCAAGTCAGATTTAAAAATCTGTTTAGCTGTTGTCAGAGAACATAGGCTTCTTGTTTGGAGCACAAATCCTGGCATGTGAGAAAGCAAAGGGTTGAGCTGATGTTTGTCAGCAAGTTAATAGTAAAAAGCAGTATCTAAAGACTCGATTTAAGAAACGACACTGTGCAAACCTCAAGACACCTTGCAAGGAGGAAGGCTGCTATCCCTTATCAGCCTGCCAAGAATTTGGACTGTAACATCCAAGTAAAAGAAGCTGAGGGGAGGGATGATGTGCAGTTAATTTGGTCTATTTCTTTTGTTTGGGAGTGGTAAATAGATTATGCAAGTAGGTTCATGAGTGTCTGGTTAGTGTATTGTTGGTATGGGTAAGGTGTGCTTCTTCCAAATTGCTTTTCTTCTGAGATAGAGGAAAATTCTCCATCTTCTTTGCATTCATTAGGAAATCCCTCAGCAATTGAATGGAAGTGACTGCGGAGTTTTTATGTGCAAATATGCAGATTATATCTCCAGAGACAAACCGATAACCTTTACACAGGTGAGTGAGGGTTATAAACAGCTCCAGACTTTTTTGCACAGATACAAGAGCCAGGGAGGTTACACAGCAGCTTTCAGTTGTGTCTGGGGCAGGGGCTGAGGTTTTGTACCTCTCTCTCTTTTTCATGCATGGTTGCTGGGGTTGGAACTTCAAAGTGGCCTCAGCAGGGCAGAGCTGTAGTCTCCATCCTTACACCTGGTATCTGCTTCCTAGTTGCATCGGTGAGATTCCTCTTGGGCAAGATACTGCAGCCAGTGAGATTGTGATATCTGGCCTTTGTATCTTTTGGAGAAATGGGTTTCACCCTTTGACCCATTAAGACACCGGTTATTTTCCAACGCAGTTGGAAGTGCTTGTAAGCTGTTGTGTAGTCAAGTAAATTTGGTTTTGTTGGGTTGTCATGTCATCCTCTTGGGAGCTGTATGGGTGAAACCCATTTGTACCCAAATGGCAAGCGTTGACAGTTCATAAGAGGAACTTCATGTTAAAGAATTAATTGGGTGTTTATGCATATTTTCTGCCTCTTTCAGCTATGACTTCGTATTTAATGTATTTTTCTTTTCTTTTCAGAATCACATGCCTTACTTCCGTAAAAGGATGGTGTGGGAAATAATCCATCAGCAGCTGCTGTGAGACATGCACTATTAGAGTAACACTGTGATCACCTTGCGGTGACTTAGCTCTTATTTTAGTTACTTTTCTAATACCTTATTTGAAAAGAAGGCAGCAGGCACACAAATTTTCCTCTTTAGGCTATGAGGTAGCGGTTAAGGTTTTTTTTTTTTTTTTCCCCCCCAATTTTGGAGACAGTAACTCTCTTTGAAATTAGTTAATATACCTTAAGTGCAAGCCAGAAAGATTGCTGTGATCTTGCCAAGGGAACAGTTAAGAACAAATGCTGTGAACCTCCATCATTGAGATGGATGCTCATACCTCACAGCATGGGCAAATGGGACTCTCAGGTGGTAACAGTTGTGTTAGCTGAACTTATCTTCCCAAGGACAATGTGCTTAGCTACTGTTTCCTCAAAGAGAGTTTTCTTCTGTTTCTGGAATATCTACAATCTACTTGATTCCTAAAACTGGATTTGTGATGACCATAGAAAGCAAGCACTTACCATCTTTTGATTTGTAACAAATCCATAGTGAAGCCCCTGTAGTTGGGGTTGGTTTGTTGTTTGTTTGTTTGTTTTTCTGTCTCCAGGGAGTTATCTAATGTGAAAAGAGAAGTATTTATTTCTTTTTATTAAAATAAATATGTAACTTATATAAAGAGCCTTACTGGAATGAAACTCTATCTGGTAATGAAACAGTGTGATTTATTTTTTTTTTTAATTGAAAAAAGTTTGACATATCAATGTGGGTTTTAGCTCACTTACAATCTATGAGGAAGAAGACTCTAGCCAGATGAGTATCAGAGCACAAAAACCTCTAAGTGATTGTCACAAAATCCTGAAGGGGCAACCAGGATGTCGTTCAGCAGTGACATGAGCAAGCACAATCCTAGTAATACCAAAGTAGGAGATTTCTCTTTGGGATAACTCACTAGACTTTTCAGGAAGACAAACAAAGCCTGTGTGCGCAGCTTGGTGAATGCAGGCTGTCCAGTACTGGAATCTGTTTAAGGCTAATACGGGTGTCTCCACACAATATTGCAGTGTACTGCTGTGGAAGTGGAATAAAATGTGCTAGCACCAATGTGCTGGGCTATGGACATGTGTCCTGCCAGGTTCAGTGGTGTTGCTGGAACGTGTTACTGCCTTACTGCCCCTCTGCTGCAGGTACTGCCTCCACGCATCTGCCAAATGAAGAGCTTGTGTGAATTCTCACTGTTACGGTCAGACCAAGCTAGATTAGTTTAAACAGGTGTTTCCCCCTTTCTTTCATTTTTGTTTCCTTTAGCTTACACTCCAGAACTGGAGTGGGATTTCAGGTCTGTCATTTACCGTCACAGAGGGAAGATTGCCCTGTAGCTTGTTTGGAAGCCACATGTTTAAATTCTTGTGTAAATAACCATGTCAGATTGTTTCTGTAATGGCATAGTTACCATAGTGCAAGGTGATTCCTGACTGGTGATGAGGTTATCTCCTCTCCTCAGCTCTGGGGGAAAGATGGTGATTTTGGGGACATCCCCTCTGTCATTGTGGGTGTGGTAAACCTTCATGGTTGCTGCTCCTTGCCTGAAGATCTGCTCTCCTGGGAAAGCTGATAAGGTGGTGCAGGTCAGCAGCTGCATCAGTCTTTGCTTTCAAACTGATTAGCTTAATCTGTCACAAAATCAGAGGAGATTCTCCATAGAGAGAACTATTGCAAAGGCAATCTGTCATGTTTTGTCCTTACATGAGAGACTTAATCTTCCCTGGATCCCTGAGGATTTGGAAGATTTTAGTTGTTTATTAACGCTAGGACCCAGTAGCTGAATGCTTTAAGTATTGGTTCCCTTTTGCTTCAGTTCTCACCATTTGGGGGATGCAGTTTTGAGGCTGACCCTGCAGTCTGCTGGTCATGAAAGCAGAATTTTTCTTTCTGGGGGAAAAAAGGCAACAGAACCACCGCTGCAGGGCAGCTAGTGGTATAAGGATGCTTTCCAGGTTCTCCGTGTGCATGCCACTTAAGCAGAGGGGGCTTGGACGTTAGACGGAAGGAGCAAGGTGATGCTGCCATGAACAGCTTACCTGGACATGGAGCCAGCCCGGCACCTTCCCTGTCCTCTACACAAATGAAAAAGCACTTCTGTGGTGTAAATCCTCTTAGGGGATACCTGCACTGGCCACTGCCAGTCACTTAGAAGTGCCTGTGTGGTTGTGGCTGCTGAAAGCCTCCATGTATGAGATGATGGGGAAATTGTACACGTACCAGTCAATATCCCCTCTGTTTGCAAGGTCATCTTGTGGGCTCTGGCCCTTCAGCTGTGGCTTGGTTCCTTACACCCCTACACTGTGCTCTGAAATCATCCTATGGAGAGAAATAAGCTATTAACTTTTGTGCTTTGGATGAACAGTTGTGCACAGGATTTGGGCCTTGCTTCTCATTAGTAAATGGCCTTTTGGAGATGATGAGCTTGCACTTTCCCCATGCCAATGGGAGAACACACATACAGCATGAGTGA